CTGCTGCATGTGTGTGTGTGTGTGGTGACGGGGTGTTACTGGTGATGCTGCATGTGTGTGTGTGTGTGTGGTGGCGGGGTGTTACTGATACTGCTGCATGTGTGTGTGTGTGGTGACGCTGGGTTTACTTGTGCTGCTGCATGTGTGTGTGTTTTGTTTGGCGGGTGTTACTGGTGCTGCTGCATGTGTGTGTGTGTGTGTGGTGACGGGTGTGTTTATACTGTGAATGCTGCATGTGTGTGTGTGTGTGTGGTGGCGGGGTGTTACTGATACTGCTGCATGTGTGTGTGTGTGGTGACGGGGTGTTACTGGTGCTGCTGCATGTGTGTGTGTTTGTTGTGACAGGGTGTTACTGGTGCTGTTGCATGTGTGTGTGTGGTGACTGGGTGTTACTTGTGCTGCTGCATGGGTGAGGTCACGTGGTAATCGTCTAGTGTCACGTCACAGGCTGCCAGCCTACGCATTTCCATGTGTTGACAGATACCTGCTCATGAGCTTCCTGTACACTGCGTATATACTATGTATGTACCCTCGTCTCTGTGGTGTGTCTGGCTGAAGCCTCGTCACGGTGAGTTGAGTTTTTTGCTTGACTTTTTCCGTGAATGTCAAGTCCCATTTATATTACATAAAATTTAACTTCTTTTAAACTGAGTTACAAAGATGTATTTTGAGTTTGTGTAAATACCGATTTCTAGTCAATACCTTTTCTTTTAAAGAGAGAAAGAATTGCACGGCCCCTGTCACTGACGCCATTCTATGTTGCGTCAGCCGGAGGTGACGTCTAGACTCTGGGATGAAAGTTGTAGTCTGATTTTGGGTACAATAAAAGTTGTTACGTCTATCTGTGCTTCGACACAAGGTTCTGGTTCATCCATTGTTGGATATAGTTTCTCTGCTCAATTAATAGTCAAATGTGGAATATTTGCAGGACTGACATAAAGGCTAAATTAGGGAAGTGTCAATAATCACAAGTTGAGAGAGTTGCCAGTACTGGATTAGGCAATGTTAAGTTTCCCTGTTGCTGTTTATAAACTATAAAAAATGTATGCTAAATTTAAACGTTTTCAATGGGTATCTATCTCTAATTAAGCTTTTACTGGTTGGATACCTGGCTCTAATTAAGTTTTTAGTGGTTAGATACCTAGCTCTAATTAAGTTTTTAATGGTTAGATACCTAGCTCTAATTAAGTTTTTAATGGTTGGATACCTAGCTCTAATTACGTTCTTGTTTAGTGTGACTCTTTATGAATAATCCCTTCAGGCTACTTTTATGATAGGCAGTGTTAACACGTAGCTACATCACCTCAGCCATGCAACATCACAAGTAACGTGTCCCTGGGCGTCACCACACTCACCACCTCTCAGGAAGGTCACTCTAAATGAGCAGTTTACGTATTTTCTGTATAACACGATAAAGCTTCCCTTGAAGCCAAGGGTCGTTATTATGACAGCTTCTGACCGAAGGAAAGTTATGAGGTTCTCAATGAGGTGAGAGAGGAAGAAAGGTGAGAATGCTACATAACAGCAGTTTGTGGTCTCGACTTTAACTGGCCGATAACGAAAGAGAGACTGACGACCAATGTAATCAAATAATTCTCTTAAATATTCACCTGAGAAGGACTGTTAAAACTTTGGATCAAAGACTATGAAAAAGAGAAGATTGGTGAAGCAACTATTCTCAAAGACTGGATGAAAGAGAGAAGAGAGGTGAAGATAGCGGCCTAAAGGACGCATGTGCTATCTTATTGTTGGTCTCTGGTTATGGTAACCCCAAACTATTGATTCAGATTATTATATAACATTCGTGGGAGTACTAAACCCGCGGGGTGCATGAGCGCCCGGGGAATGGGCGGTAATGGGATTCCATACAATGAACAGGATAGTTACTTCAGTTCTCTGGTTGAAGAGCAAATTCACCGGCATCAAGAACTTCCCTCGTGAAATATAATGGTTCAGAAAATATGGGAAGGTAGCCAGCAAGACACCCACGGTGACTAGCTCAGAACATGTGGGAGAGAAGCCCACAAGAGACCTATGATTGGACCACAACATGTGGGAGAGTGGACTACTGTAAACCTACTGTGTCACCACCACCCATTATTTGCAATTACCCCACACCCTGTAGAGGAAACTTTAGCTGCAACTTGATAATGACCCAGAAGGAACCGCAACGCAGTCTGTTCATCTGTCGCAGGCAAGTTTCTCATCTGTGTACCCACTCTGACATCTCCCTTGCCACTTATGTCTAAAAACTTCCTCTGCAAAGCGTAGGTTAGTTATGGACTGTAGCAGCCGCCACGGGATTGTGATGTATTTCTCACCACTTGTCAACCTCCACTCAATACAGACCTTAAGATTTCTCCGTCTGTTCCCACGTCCTTCCGAACGTGTTAACGAAACTAATATTATTATGATAGCTAAATATTTAATACTTGATCCTTATCATAATTTAAACACGATAGAAAAATAATACTGCTGAAAGTAGGCAGTTACTAAACTTTGTATAAAACAATTCCAAGCCCAGTGAAGACTGAAGTAAATGCTGAATCAGGTAACAAGTGTTTGAAGGTCTCTAACCTAGTGCTACATAATTTCGTTGACCTAGAGGGCAAAGTGGTGTTAAACTTAGACATATAACTGGTCTTGAGATGCTGAGAGATGAATCTAGACATCGAGGATGCTGTAGGAAATCAAGACGAAGCAGACACCTACGATGGTGCAATACGCATTTCAAACACCTGGGAAGATTTAACATGGAATACAGATACACAGGATGCTGCTAGCGTCTGGACACCTAGGTTGTGGCAAGAGGAAATAAAGACACTCGGGGCTTTGCAACATGATGTTTAGGCTCACCAAATATTTGCAAGATGAGGTCCAATAATCTAGCACATTCCAAGCTGTGGTACAGACATGGAGAATAATGCAAAATGAAGTCCAGAGATCTAGAATGTTGCAAGACGATATCCAGACATCTTGCATGTTGCTAGAGGAAGTTGACACACCTACGTTGTTGAAGAAAGTCCAGACATTTAAAGTATTGAAATAAAGATTCCAGACTTCCTAGATAATGCAAGGTACAGTTCACACGTTGCAAGAAGCATTTCGATGAACATAGATCATCTAGAGCGCTTTACTAGACACTAGTGTGTTTTCAAAATACATTATGATGAAATACAGACACAGGTCACCATAGAAAAACTAATATTGTGCTAAGACTTAACGTTTACCTTTGTGAACACAGAGCATGGAAGGCTAGAATAGTATTTGTCACACTGGTCCAGTTCCTCATCACAATCCTGTCAGAATTTGGCCATAGGGACACACGAGATTTTGTAACTTATAAGAGACACACAGGTTACCAGGGGCTTTGTTCAGCTGTTGCTGTGACCATCTCAGGCTTACTCGTCCTCAGTGAGGGACTTACAGTTTTGGGGCTCTGAAGCTTGAACTATTATAGGGGCCCATACACAATCCCTTCTCATATAACAGACCCAAAAATTTTAAGCAACGTGAACTAGAGTCGCTTCTGGAGCCCCACCGAAGTTAGAGACCCTGAAATTAAGGTTCATTAGTTTCATGGTAGATGTGCCCCTGCCCGTCCTAAGCAACGGGGTGTCAGGGAGTTGTGACCCACAACGAACCTAATCTCTTTATAACCAACACCTTTGGGAAACTAATTATCCAGTTCCATTCTAATTCAGCGCGTGATATTTGTTGTGATATATTAAATGTGCAACCAAGACTAATCTATCCACGTGCTTGGGAAGCTTCTTACCCAAACCTAAGCTAGTCTAAGTTCACCTAGCCCATCGCTAAACTGAGGTTCATAATTCAAAAGTCATAGGCACTGATTTTTTTTCACTAGTCTCACTTTGAAAGGCGTGATCTTATCCTGAGCTGACCCCTCATAACCCAGCTGAGCCTGGGATGACACCTGACTGAACTACCGGCGATCCCTAAGACTGAGCTGAGCCTGGGATGACACCCTGACTGAACTACCTGCCATCCATAAGACTGAGCTGGGCCTGGGATGACACCCTGACCGAACTACCGGCCATCCCTAAGTGAGCAACTCAATGGCTGCAGCCAATTGTATCTTTCTTGCTATGTTACCAAACTGTGACTAGGAGGAAGGGATTGTTACAACAGGTACCAGATATCAGCTGAGAACAGGGAGGGACTGAGATGTTAAATGCACATCGAGAACTGTTTTAAAAATTTAAAAAAACTAAAGATTTCTGATACAAAGACCTTTCTAATCTTATTTCTCAGTTTAGAGTTTTCTCTAATCACTAAGAGTTACAAAGTATGTATCATTGAAAAAATGGATTTTCTTAAATTCTTGTAAAAACGATCTAAGTTTCTAAGTTACAACTGAGAACTTGTGTTAGAAAGATCGAGTGAAGGTATCGAGTCTAACACTGTGATTGTTTACTAAGAGAGTGAATAACAGCTACTAGACAGTACGAGACGACGGCAGGATGTGAACTTCAACCTGGGATCTTATGTCAGGGAAGGAACAAAACAGTTAAACCATGCGATGGATACAAAAAATAATGGCTCTTAATTCCAGGGGAGAAAAAAAAAACACAGGTTAAACCATGAGATGGATAAAAAAAAATCTGGTTATTAATTCCAGGGAAGAAAAAACACAAGGTAAACCATGGGATGGACACAATTTTACACAGTGAAAATGAATCCGATTTTCGTTCAGATTAAATTCAAGAGAAGATATTAGTGGCTGTAAATATAAATTATCTCTGAATGAAATCACAGTTAATAAAAATGTTACATTAATCCTTCTTTTGTTGAAATTCAAATAAAATGCAAGGAAAAAAATTAATGCAATGACGGCCTTATGGGAAGGTAACTTCCTTGCAGCGGTGCATTGATGGCAGGCACACACAGACCTTCCTTGCAACGGTACATGGATGGCAGGCACACACAGACCTTCCTTGCAACGGTACATGGATGGACAGGCCCACACACAGACCTTCCTTGCAACGGTACATGGATGGCAGGCACACACAGACCTTCCTTGCAACGGTACATGGATGACAGGCCCACACAGACCTTCCTTGCAACGGTACATGGATGGCAGGCACACAGAGACCTTCCTTGCAACGGTACATGGATGGCAGGCCCACACAGACCTTCCTGGACAAACTTGTCTACTACTGTTAACTGCCTTCTAGAAAAGGTGGATTCCTCAGTGTGTTCCAGCACGATGCTGCAACTCCACCATAACTTGATGGTTGATCAGCTACCATTACTGCTCTACTTTTGTTGTCACTACCTTCAAGAATGTCCAGTCTTCTGGGGCTCCTGGTGAGCGAAACATAGATGGGGTAAACGTTTTATTAACTGACCGTGAGTCCCCCCAGCATTTCTACAAATGCTGCGGAAATACAAACGAGTGACTAGCTTCCATGTTCATAGAATGAACTCTTCTCCCAGCTTGGTAGCGGATTGAGAAGTATGATCAATTTACATCCGAAATTCCGTGAGGGAAAAGACGAAAATTTAAAGGCTGGGAGCTGAATGTATATAATTCGAAGTAGAACCTGTTGCATAAGGTGGCCACCAGGTGTCTTTAAGTCGAGGTGGCCACCTGGTGACCTGGGTTGACGGGGCCACAAGTTGATCTGGGTTGAGGTGGCTACCTGGTGACCTGGGTTGACGGGGCCACAAGTTGATCCGGGTTGAAGCGGCCACCTGGTGTCTTTGGGTTGAAGTGACCACAAGATAACCTGGGATGAGGTGGCCACCTGGTGACCTGGGTTGAGGTGGCCACCTGGTGACCTGGGTTGAGGTGGCCACCTGGTGAACACGATTGTTGACAAATTATTACTATACTCTGATTATAATAAACTCACAAACACACCTCGACTGTAACTAACATAATATCTGATCCCAGTTAAAATTTCTCTAGGACGACGTATTGGTCTATGGTGAGTGTGCAGAGTCGTGGCTAGTTCGTCAGTCTTGGCACACATCATCAGTGACATGACACACATGGCACTTTCCTCTCCAAGTGGTGCCTCATAGAAGGATTAACGGCACCAGAGTGCCAGGAAGAAACAACAACAAGGGCTGCCTCGGATTTTTAACTAGCAGATTACAGGCAAATGCTGGTTTTTTGTATTTCAAGTTTCTCACTATTTTTGTTTTCTCTTTATGCTGTTCTATTTTATCACCGTCATGAAACCTGTCACAGTAAAGCTATCCCAACCTGCCGATCTACCCCCACCTGCCGATCTAATCCCACCTGTTGATCGACTCCTACCCGTCGATCTGCTCCCACCTGTCAAAGCGTCCTTGATCTACCAAGCTACCCCGACCTGTCGGGTGTCAGTTTACAAATCTGAAAAAAAGGTTAGCATTTGACTAGCGAGAAAACATAAAAGTTGGAAGCTAATTTCTGGACACAGGTGTTGGATGACTTGACTGAGGTGACATTCTACAGCTTCGCGACACAAGCATCCTTATATCTTGATTCTTAAGACTAACATAATCTTGAGGTAAATTATTATCAAAAATATAATATATAAAACGTTGTACAGAAGCGTGACACAAAAATAACTCATCATTTTTTTTATAGCAGAATCTGGAGAAGTGCGCATCGCTGGACACACAGGCAGGTACGCTGACCTCGATTCAAGCAGGTAGAGTGTAGGGAGATTAGTGGGGTGCATTCTTGACGCCCCTGAAAGAACCATTTACCCTATAAGTGTAGGGAGGTGGTGTGGGGGAGGCTTTATTGACTCCCCTGTGAGCACTACCTACCCCAGACATATACTAATAACACACACACATACACACACACACACACACACACAGCAATATCTCACCCTGTCACCCTCAAAAATTCGATATTTTTAGATGATTTGCGACTTACAGTGAACAAGAAGCAGAATAATGTAAAAAATGAATGTCACTGCAGGACAGCAACGTGTTCTTAACCTTTTTTTTAGTTATATAACTGTCAAGCTTATTTATAGAGGACTGTAGCGAAGTATGACGACCACTTTCCTGAAGGAAATGCAAACTTTCCACGAGGCCGTTACAAATGTCTCAGAAAGTCACATGCTTGTTCAAGGAAACTTTCCTTTAAGGAGACATTTGCCTAAAGACACCTGCCTAAGGACAAAGGCCTTCAAGGAGGAGCTTACCAGGAGAAGGCGTAAACCTTTGATGATGTACAAGGTCTCCAAGAATTAACATTAATTATCTTTTGCAGGTCAACTTTTAAGCGTAGTCACATTAAAATGTGTAGTTTTAACTTTTCCAGGAAATCTCATATTCTGTTTCCGAAGATGAAATTGGATATGAGAGTCACATAAGACCAACTGTAGGTTGTACGAACATTCCACTCACTGCCTGAAACATAAATTATAAATTACCAGCAAGTCTAGAGTTCCTATCACTGGATGTAATTCCTCAGGAAGTCATGAGTGCTTATCACCGGACGTGAGCATCTAGCAAGTCATGAGTTCTGATCACTGGATGTAAGCTTCCTGCAAGCCCGAGTTCTTCTTACTGTTTGCAAGCTTGCTTCCAGCAAGTCATGTGAACTTTCTAAGACAGTTGATCTCACCAGGCCACGTACAGGTTCTCCTGGCCATAAGATAATAAATATGTACATCTTTCAAAACATGCTAACATAAAACCTTCCAGAAGGTTGCATAAATATTCCACGCAGACTTCACGGAAATATAAATTACATGTATGTATATATGTATACATTTTTAACGTTTTGGATGAGTAAAGCCTTGCTGACGACGATATAAACCTTGTAGAGTATCAATTGTTGCTGAGAGATGACCAAGTCTTCGATTCCCTACTCAGAGTGTCACTCTAGCCTCTATACTCCAGAGTGCCGCGAACTTTTGGTGGAGCTCTTCGAGGAGGACTTAGAGCCCTTCCTGGGGCTGGAGTGGTGACGCTCCAGGAGTCCTTGCGTCTCCAGGGGAGAGGTAGGTGTAAGAGAAGACTCTGGCGTGGAGTCTATAGGCTCTGTGGTAGCAGTGTCAGCATCGTTCTCATCTTCCTCGAGGATCCGGGAGAGGACGGGCTCCATTGAAGCCGAGGAAGTCATGGGGCCGGTGTCTTGCATGGCGGAGTCCTGGGTGCCGGGAGAGCTGCACGCAGCTTCACCATCTTCATTTGGAGATGTGGACACTGGCTCTTCCTTAGCTTCCAGTTTGGCACTCTTTGAGCCACTGCTGGCAGCTTTGGCTGGAGAGGCTGGCATAATTCCGTTCTGCTGCGGCTTTTGGCGGCGCTCACGTGTTGGAGTGGGCAAGCCGCTTTCTGCATCACGGACCAGTCGATGACCAGACTTAGTACGTGACAGGCGCCCTTTTATGTACTTATTGAGCTCCTTCTCTTCGTTGTTGGAGACGAAGCGGCTGATGGTGGTGAGGACACCGCCCAAGAAGACAAAGAAACAGCCGGTGCCAAGCAGGTCACTCCTGCGCTCTGGAGTGGTGCTCTTGACGTAACCAGGCACCAGGGAGGTAATTGTGAGCATCAGACCAATCACGATGAAGACGGAGCCCACGTGGAACATAGTGACCTGCCCCAGCAGACGCTTGTTCTCCTTCTCTTCGTTGAAGTAGACGCGTCCATCTAGGCTGACGACGGACGGACGGGGGGTGGAGAGCGAGGCTCGGCTCTCCCGGCGCTGTTTCGCCCGACGCTGATCCTCCCGACGTGACCTCTGGCGCCGGATGGCCAAAGCCGACTGCACTGCCTGCATCTTCACCATCCTGTAGCGAGGACACACATTTAGTACACAGTGTATACAATATAAAATTATCTTTCGCTTATCTGTTTTAGTCTCTATGTCTAAAGTGGATCACCAAGATCCTGACTGGTCACATACCAGGCCGCCATTACCAGACGGAGGATCGAGCCTCTCTCCGAGTGGCGGTGAATGACCAACACAGGTTCAGCGCTGCATAAAGTATAATATACGTCTGTACTTCACTTACCTCATGTGAAGCGCTACACCCATGTGGGTTACATAGAGCAAAGGACCTGGCAAGGCTCGACCCTCGTCAACAAACAGCAAAACAGATTTAAAAATTTCTATATCCCATCTGTCTCGCTGCGTGAGCATATTCTGCCCATGCACCACATGGAAACACCGGAGGCCTCCCAACTTACGAACGAGTTTGTTCGTAACCCTGAATGTAATTTCCAACAAAGAACAATAGTATATCAAACTATTTTTTTTTATTTTCCCCCCAATACTGACATCGTAAGTGCGAATAATCGTAACTCAGGTGATCGTAAGTTGTGGACTCATGTTTTCTCTGGGACTCGATGGAATGTTTTTGCTCCTCTCACGATGAAAATTTAACAATTTTCATCGTGAGATAAATACTAATTTAACATTTTGAAAATATTATTTGAAGATAAATACTAATTTAACATTTCGAAAATAGGTCACATGTGTCAAGAAACTTATTATAGAGAAAGAGAATGCAATTATACGCCAAAAAAAAAAAAACAGAATCATCTTAAAATAACTAAAACAGTATGTTAATTTTTATTCATTTCAATAAAGATAATGTTTATTATTCAGTCAGTTTAATAAAGACAATATCTATCAAATTACTTTCCATTTAAATGCAAAGTGATTATACCATCATTATACCATCATTATACCATCATTATACCATCATTATACCATCATTATACCATCATTATACCATCATTATACCATCATTATACCATCATTATACCATCATTATACAATTACTATACAATTATAACAACCCGAAAGAATATATATAGAGAAAAATATGACTTGAAATACTAATTCTAAACTAGATATAACTTAATATTAAGACAACACTAAATATGGCTATAAATACTAAGACGACACTAGCCATTACCTTAAATACTAAGACAAGACTAGATATGGAATAAGAAGTTCCCAGTAACATAAACATGAGGAAGTATGTAAGGAGAGTTTATAAGTGTTCGTAATAAAACTTAACAGAATTCTTTGGCGTTACATCAGGAAGTGTAAATGACAGTAATCTTCGGGTTATACTTCAGTTTTACGTATCTTTGGTTAGACTTCGTTTATATTATGCTGCTCAGTTCTGCTCTTCATATTACAGGATGGAAATAAGCGCTCTGTAAAACGTAGACGATGGATGTCCAACTTGATTCTATTTATCGAAAACCTTCAGACACTTGTGCAACATCTGGGTATCTTTATTTGTAGACTTTTCACCATCCAGTGGTTTTATCAATATAATATTGTGAAGAATGTAGAATTATAAACAAAAGATGAGGTGACTATTAAAATGGTATATAATAAAGACAGGTTAGTAAGTATGACACATGTGCAACACTTAGGTATCCTTTCTCTGAAGTGTTTCTCCTATGAAGTAGACTTCTGTCGAGTACATCTCTTTGCATCTCTATTGCCTCTGCTCACTCCTCTGTTCTCGACTAAAGAAGCCTACTGTGTAGGCGAAACGTTTCTGAATAAAGATACCTAATTTGTACATGTATCTTACCAAAAGATGAGGTAATTAGTCCCGTAGTCTTGAAAACTACGGTGCTCTTCACCAGCTCCAAGACTGAGGGACTGACTGTCTCATCTTTTGTATAGAGTTCTACAGTCTTCACATTATGTCCTTGTATTATACTGAAAAAGCCACTAGTTGGCAAAGCGTCTACTAATAAAGATACCCAGATGTAACACATGTGTCTAATTCTTCACCATATAAATCATGCGTTGAATGCGTCTAATCAAGCGAGGACGCGTGCAAATGGCTGAAAGATGGAGAAATTTAGATTTAGAAAAGATACTGGGAGGAACTGGTTTGTCAATAGAGTTGTAAATGAGTGGAACAAACTCCCAGGTAGCGTCATAGAGACAAATATTTTTTGGGTAGGTGGGTGTGGGTGGGTGTGGGTGGTTGTGGGTGGGTGTGGGTGGGTGTGGGTGGGTGTGGGTGGGTGTGGGTGGGTGTGGGTGGGTGTGGGTGGGTGTGGGTGGGTGTGGGTGGGTGTGGGTGGGTGTGGGTGGGTGTGGGTGGGTGTGGGTGGGTGTGGGTGGGTGTGGGTGGGTGTGGGTGGGTTTGGGTGGGTTTGGGTGGCTGTGGGTGGGTTTGGGTGGGTGTGGGTGGGTGTGGGTGGGTGTGGGTGGGTGTGAGGGGGTGTGAGTGGGTGTGGGTTAGACCTGCCTAGCATGGGCCAGTAGGCTTACTACAGTGTTTCTTCAATCTTGTGTTGTCACAAATAGAGAAAGATTCAGCTCATGGAGCAGAACTCTTCCCCAAGCTGAGGGACTGACCACCTCAAATACTTTTTCCCAAAAGTTGATGGACTGATTACATCATCTTCATTTATTACTACAACTGCTGCCTTTGTATTTGGCAAAACGTTTCAAAAATAAAGGTACCCAACTGCTGCACATGTGTCTTACTCGTCAACTTGTTGGTACTTTATACCATTTCCAACATATGGCACTATATGTGCCAGTACAGATGGCACTAAGGCACTCTAGGGAGCACCTTGACGTCGCTGGAGGGCTAAGGGATTTGGACCTACTCTCCTTTTCCTTGGATCAAATAGATTACCTTCCATCCCCCAGGCACTATATGACCCTCCTTCACTGGCTGGCTCCTTACCCCATTAATAAATGTGAATCACCAATACTTCTTCACTGCTGCAGTGACTTCACTGTGAGGTCCCAGTACAGTGAAACCTCGGTTGTCGAACGGACTAGTTGTCGAACAAATCGGTTTTTGAACAAGAAATTCGGTCCTGTTTTTCATACATGGTCTTGGTTGTCGACCAACAACACTCGGATCACGTGATAAGACAAGAGTCCAGAGCGTGGGTCCCAGTATAGCGACTAACATGCAACACTCATGCTGTAAACCTCTCTTGAGCTGTACATGAATGGTATACAATACTAACAAGATGAAAATTAAGATACATGTGCAACATCTGGGTATCTTTATTGTAGACGTTTCTCCATCCAGTGACTTTATCAATACAAATTCAAGGACATGAATGGAAAACAGTAGAACTATATACAAAAGACGAGGTAATCAGTCCCTCAGTCTCTCACCGTAGTCGTGACTCTTCACGACTACGGTGCTCTTCATATGTTTCGCCACTGGATGGTGAAACGTCTACAATAAAGATACACAGATGTTGCACATATATGTCTTAATTTTCATCTCTTGAGCTCTTGGTGTGTATTTTGTGAAGGTAATGAAACCAAAGTATGAAATTTGATGGAAAACTTACGAAATTACACTATCGCGCAGTTAGCGATCTCAGCGATATTCAAGCATTGGCGATTTCGCCCACTTTGATCCCTATTTTGGGCCAATTCCATTGTTCCATCTGAATAATTTCGTAATTATTTCGCTAGAATTCCTTTTATTCTATCGACTGAGTACAAGAAACTGCCCATTTCCCCATTTCAATTACCCTCTAAAGAGTTATGAAATTACTAATTTGACCAATTTCACACAAAATTCAAGAAACTCCAATTTCAAAATAGTGCCCAGCATAAACACTGCAGAAATTCCTGCCACTAAAATAACGTTATATCTGTTCATAAGTCACGTCTCCAGCCTCTCTTATATTACGCTTGCTCTTCGTTTTGAATTTTTTCACACAAAAAAATAGAAGATTTACTATTATTCAGTCTACTGCATAATTGTAATAATTGTATAAATAATATCAGCACATTCGTGAGTGCATATTAGAGGCATCAGTTGATGTATTAGACGCATGACGTGATTTATTTACTATTGAACATCAGCAAAAATCGAACATTTCCGCTACTTTGAGCTCAATTTCAAGGTTCTTTTTAAACCATTGAAAATCATCTATATTTCTGTAGTATATCTTCCATTCTATCAAATGAGACCAAGAAAATGAGAATACAATCATAAATACCATACGAAAATACACTGCAAAGTCACTCTTTTAAATTAAAAACACGGTCGCAGTTTTTTCTCTCATTATGCACTGCTTGTTGCAGGATTTTTTTAATACTACGCACACTGACCACACAGACACATTCTCTCACGTGTAGGCCTATCAGCTTTCTCCCGTAAAATTTGAAACCGCTAGAACTTTACTATTAGCTCTCCTCTGACAGGTAAAAGGCAGTTAAATTTTATTTACTGTACAGTATTTCAGTTGAATTTTCACTTAGTATTTATTTTTACAGTTTCCGTGTGCTGTATAATTTTATACATTGTTTTATGTAGTAGTTAGTACTTTTTTATTAATAAATTTTTATATTGTCATTTTTGGTCTGGAACGGATTTATTTATATTATTCTTTAATGGAAAAATTGGTTTGGTCGTAGACCGTTTTGGTTGTCGAACCGACTTCTGGAACCAATTAAGTTGACAACTGAGGTGCCACAGTACTTCTTTACTGCTGCAATAACCTCACTGTAAAGTTCCAGTGCTTCTACATTGTTACAGTGATTTCACAGTCAAGCTTCAGTGCTTCTACAATACTGCAGTGACTTTACTGTGAAGTCCCAGTGCTTCTATACTGCTACAGTGACTTCACTTTGAAGCTCCAGTGCTTCTACACTGCTGCATTGACTTCACTGAGGGGCCTGGCTGGTTTAAATTCGTAAAACTACCTGGAGTGCTCTTACCTCAGCCTGTGTAGATCTCTCAAGCGAAGGGTAGAGAGAGAGAGAGAGAGAGAGAGAGAGAGAGAGAGAGAGAGAGAGAGAGAGAGAGAGAGTATGCTCCACTTTCTTGGTTTGCCCCCCCCCTCTTATCTGCGACTGCTTGA